AGACAGAAAATTAACAAGGATATCTAGGACTTGAATTCAGACCTGGACCAAGCAAACCTAATAGAGATTTATAGAACCCTCCAACCCAAATCCACAAAATATACATTCTTCTCAGCACCACATCGCACCTACTCTAAAACTGACCACATAATTGGAAGTAAATCACTCCTCAGCAAACGCAAAACAATGGAAATTGTAACAAACAGTCTCTCAGACCACAGTGCAATCAAGTTAGAACTCAGAATTCAGAAACTACCTCAGACCGCAGAGCCCCACAGAAACTGAACAACTGGCTCTTGAATGTTCACTGGATAAACAATGAAATGAAGACAGAAATAAAGATGTTCTTTGAAACCAAAGAGAATGAAGATACAACATACCAGAACCTCCGGGACACATTTAAAGCAGTCTCTAGAGGAAAATATATAGCAATAAAGGCCCACATGAGAAGCAAAGAGAGATCTAAAATCGACACCCTATTATCAAAACTGAAAGAGCTCGAGGAGCAAGATCAAAGAAACTCAAAACCTAGCAGAAGACAAGAAATAACTAAGAGCAGAATTAAAGGAGATAGAGACACAAAACACCCTTCAAAAAAATCAATAAATCCAGGAGCTGGTTTTTTGAAAAGATCAACAAAAAACGCAGACCACTAACCAGATTAATAAAAAGGAAAAGAGAGAATAATCAAATAGAGGCAACAGAAAATGATAAAAGGGATATCACCACAGATTCCACAGAAATTCAAACCATCATCAGAGATTATTACAAACAACTCTATGCACATAAACTAGTAAACCTGGAAGAAATGGATAAATTCCTGGACACTTGCATCCTCCCAAGCCTAAACCAGGAAGAAGTTGAACCTTTGATAGACCAATAACAAGGTCTGAAGTTGAGGCAGCAATTAAGAGCCTATCACCCAAGAAAAAGTCCAGGTCCAGATGGGTTCACAGCCGAATTCTACCTGACATACAAAGAGGAGCTGGTACCATTCTTTCTGAAACTATTCCAAACAATACAAAAAGAGGGAATCCTTCCAAAATCATTTTATGAGACCAATATTATCCTCATACCAAAACTTGGCAGAGACTCAGCAAGAAAAGAAAACTTCAGGCCAATATCCATGATGAACATAGATGCAAAATTCTTCAATAAAATACTGGCCAACCAATTGCAACAGCACATCAAAAAGCTTATCCACCATGATCAAGTAGGCTTCATCCTGGGGATGCAAGGCTGGTTCAACATATGCAAGTCTATAAACGTAATTCACCACATAAACAGAACCAAAGACAAAAACCACATGATTATCTCAATTGATGCAGAGAAGGCCTTTGGCAAAATTCAACAGCCCTTTATGCTAAAATCCCTCAATAAACTAGCTATTGACAGAACGTATCTCAATATAATAAAAGCTATTTATGACAAACCAATGGCCAATATCATAACGAATGGGTAAAAACTGGAAGCATTTCCTTTGAAATCTGGCACTAAACAAGGTTGCCCTCTCTCACCACTCCTATTCAATATGGTAGTGGAAGTTCTACCCAGAACAATCAGGCAAGAAAAAGAAATAAAGGGTATTCAAATAGGAAAGGTGGAGGTCAAATTACCTCTATTTGCAGACGACATGATTGTATATCTGGAAGACCCCATCGTCTAAGCCCAAAATCTCCTGAAGATGATAAGCAACTTCAGCAAAGTCTCAGGATACAAAATCAATGTGCAAAAATCACAAGAATTCCTATACACCAATAAGAGACTTAAAGAGAGCCAAATAAAGAACAAACTGCCATTCACGATTGCTACAAAGAGAATAAAATACCTAGGAATACAACTAACAAGGAACATAAAGGACCTCTTCAAGGAGAACTACAAACCACTGCTCAATGAAATAAGAGAGGACACAAATAGATGGAGAAACATTCCATGTTCACGGTTAGGAAGAATCAATATCGTGAAAATGGCCACACTGCCCAAAGTAATTTACAGATTCAATGCCATTGCCATTAAGCTACCAATGACCTTCTTCACAGAACTGGAAAAAACCACCTTAAACTTCATGTAGAACCAAAGAGAGCCCTCATAGCGAAGTCAATTCTAAGCAAAAAGAACAAAGCAGGAGGCATCACACTACTGGACTTCAAACTATACTACAAGTGTAGGGTAATCAAAATAGCATGGTACTGGTACCAAAACAAAGATATTTAACTGATTTCTACTATATATATATAAACTTTAATCTATGGGAACCATAGTTCTCCCCAGTCCAGGCTCTGCACAAAGCATCCAGATTTCTATTGAAAAATTAGGCCACAAAATGATCTAGCAGACACAATCCTTTTAGTATGTAATACTCATTTGAAATGAGGTCATGAATTAGAGGCAGTGAGCTGAATATGTATTTAGATCAGAGAAAAAATACTAAAATTTTTGTCTGTGTTATTTGTCTAATATTTTAATCTTTTCTGGCCCACATAAGGCCACAAAATACATATCGTTCTGCATATATGACCTAAATATATGCAGAAACATAATAAAGTAATTCTGATTCATAGTTATTAAGTAAGTCCATGTATTGTTTTACCTGTACTGAATCGTGAACCTTAAAATATGGAGGCTATTGTGCATTGAGTCAAGATTCTTCTGTTGCTTCTTCTGAGTGTAACAAGGCAACAGATTCCAATTGAGCTGAAATTGCGGTGGTATGGTATTGAGAGCTATTAGTTGCTTGTTTCTGGCAGTTGAGATAAATATGTCCCTTTGACTGATTCAGCATGAAACAGTTAAAACAATTGTGCAGTTTCTCCTTTATAAACTTAAACGTATCATATATAGAGCAATGTTCTACCTCAGCTATGATTTTTCTGTGAGCCAAGAACACTCTCACTATCTGAATTATCTTACGTATTTATATAAATGGATCAGTGCAGTTTTAAGAGACCTTGAAAACAGTTGAATTGTTTTAAATTTTATAAGAGAAATTAAGTTCACTATGGAGAATTTTTGTAACCATCATACCGCTGAATTGTTGTAAGTTGAGTATTTAATTGGTTTGATAAAATAATAATGCCTGCATCCAGAAAAAATAACATGAGAACATGACTTCTGAATTATTTGGTAAAGTTTTACAAAAGATTTTGATTAAGACATGAGGAATTTTTTTTAATATTAAGTATTTTTAACAGCATCGGAGGATGTGTCTGCAATAAGTAAAGTCTCAATAAAAAGATCTCCACTTGAACATTTTGAAGTAACTTCATAGATGGCATAAACTCAGAAAATGCGTTGTTTGTTATCTTGAAAATTGATCAGTAAATATAACTTCTGAGGTACAAGACCTAATACCTGGGTGATAAAATAATCTGTACCACAAGCCCCCATGACAGAAGTTTACCTATGTGACAAACCTGCACTTGTACCCTGAACTTAAAATGAAAGTTAAAAAGAAAATCAAGAGCAGGACCTTGCAACAATTTCCTTTAGAAATATTAAAGAGATTTTATTGAAGGGATCTCTGATATGGAAAATAAGCTGGAAGGGAACCTGGATT